TTGAACCGCTGAAGCGTTGACCATTTCTGGCCGGCAACTTTCAGCGTCATTAAGCCGCTGCGCCACCGCGTCCCCCCATGAGTACTAACACTACCTTTATTGTAAGGTCACAGTAACAGAATCTTGCAAGTCTGAAAGTACCGTTCCCCTCCCTACTTTTACTCTCCCAAAAAAGTAAGGAGGGTCCTCTCTGATCCGTTTTCTCTACCCCCACCCCTCCTTCAGACTCAGATTTCATTTATCAGACTGTTGTCTAGGCTGCGACTCTTCCTCCCGTCTCCCAAGATCATTCCCACATACCATTACAGGTAACATCATTATTTGTCAATAGACTGAGGAAAAAAATAGACAGGGAATGGGAGCCAATGTAAAATTATCCAAACTTAGTTAAATAGCTCTGAAAATAAATAAATAAAAGATCCATGATGTATCTGTCTATGCTTTCTCTGTCACTGTCCCTGATTCCACCTCTCCCCCTGAATCCCACCACACTGTCTTTTAAAAGAAGAAGACAGTGGTGTTAGAGTTACAAAATACTCAAGAACCACCGCTCCCAAGGTCCATTGCAATAGTCAAAAAGGAGATTTTGCTTTTTCTGCCGACTTTTTTTTCCTTTAATTGCTTTAAATTCTGGGTCATTTTCCTTTGGATGCATGTATTCACCTTAAAGATTGACTTTTTTCCCCCCTAAATATTTACCTTTAAAATGCCTTTTTTACCTTCTCCCGCAGTCATGCTGTTATTTATACCTTTACGTTTTTTAACAGCTGGGATATTGTTGGTTGTATGCTGCCCAGAGTCACATTCAGTGCAATGGGTGGCCATATACATATATTAAAAACAATTTTGTTTTTTGGAAAAAAAATGTCTTCATTGGCCTGAGAATATGGCAAAGAGGGTGGATGATCTTGAATTCAGGGTTGTCTTCTTTTCTGGTAAGTGCACTATGCTGGCTGTTCACTCTTGTGGCATCAGCTACCATTTGTCTGTGGTTAATGAACTTTGGAGCTAAGATTCACTCAGAGGGTTAAAGACTGCCAAAATAGTTTAGAATTTTTAAACTGAGCGGGCCAGTTCATTTTCCCTCATTTTCTTTTCAGGAGTCAAGGCCCCATCCAAATTCACCGCCGTCATCCATGCAGTTACTCCTTTGGTTTCTCAATCTCAACCTGTGCTGAAGCTCCTGGTGGCAGTGGCCAAGTCCCAGCACTGTGCCCAGGTGAGAAATACTACCCACCTTCCAGTCAGGGAGCTGAAAATCCACATCTCAATGATTGCTGAGAAGAAGAAGCTAAGTTTGACTGTTGTTGTTGTTCAGTCGTTAAGTCGTGTCCGACTCTTCGTGACCCCATGAACCACATCGCGCCAGGCCCTCCTGTCCTTCACTGCCTCCCTGAGTTCATGCTCATTGCTTCAGTGATGCTATCTAACCGTCTCATCGTCTGCCGTCCCTTTTTCTTTTTGCCTTCAATCTTTCCCAGCATCACGGTCTTTTCCAAAGAGTCCTCTCTTCACATGAGGTGACCAAAGTATCTGAGCTTGAGCTTCGTTATCAAAGTTTGACTGGAATCTCCAATTTGGCAAAGTATCTCGCCCAATAAATGTGCTAAAGGCCAAAGGAGGAATGAGTGGCCCATGGTCTGCAGGCCACGTGAAGCCTCCCAGCACCCGTTTCATGGCTCTCAGTAGGAAGGATCAAAATTTCCCACCCAGTTTTTGGGTTGGGTTTCCTTTGATTAAGAGGCAGACCCCTCCATGTTCCCCATGTTGGTGAGTTTTAAAAGGTAAAACTAAATGCCTCAAATCTCTGTAAGATTTAAAATACCCCCACTCCCTAAAAAAGCACCACCAACTTTTTGGACTCACTCACTTTGGTGACATAATGACATCACCACCCATCCCCCAAGTGGCCTCTGGAAGTCCCCTACCCCCAAGTGTGGCCCTTCCAACCTGCACTTAGGCTAAAGAGACATTGTGACCTTAATTACATAGGGCAATGTTTCTCAACCTCAGCCACTTTAAGCTGTGTAGACTTCAACTCCCAGAATTCCCCAGCCAGCCATGCTGACTGGGGAATTCTGGGAGTTGAAGTCCACACAGCTTAAAGTGGCTGAGGTTGAGAAACACTGACATGGGGACATATACCATACACTGAGCTAAACCATTGGTTAGGTATTGTCTATTGCCGAATGCAGAATTTTATGCTGTGTTGCACTGGCCCCTCTACCTTCACCAGAAGATACTAGTGCAAAGCATATCAAAATGAAAATTGGTTATGCAGGAGTGCTCCTTCAAAAAAAGGAGCTAACAGCCTGTTTGCAGCAGGGCTAAACTCTCTAGATGGATAAACTCCTTGGTCACTTCTCCTGCCAGGCTGGGTTTATTATCAGGCTGTATGATATAGGAGAAATGAAGTTCTGCAATATGTTTAAATTATGCCAATGAACAAGATTTGCATAACTGCTCTCAGCCTAACCCTACCTCTTAACATTTCTGCAGTGTGTTTTGACCGGTCTTTGGAAAGATCGAAGATGTGTGAAAGAGTGAATACTACAACCTAATCCAACAAGTTCTTCTGTCCCTCCTCCCCCTGTAGAGTATTTAGTCATGAGGACCAGGATGCCTGTTCCAGTTCCTATAAGACATTCTGCATTTTGTTCCTGGGGAATTAGGGCAAATAGGCCACCCTGATCCTTCCAAAAATTGAATTCTGCATCTCAGTATCATAACCCACACTCCCATATCAATATGATCACTGCTGAGGTGGTGGCGGCGCAGCCTGTTTTTATGTCAGGCTGTGAACATTTTGTCTTTTGTCTTCTGCCCAAGTGAGCTCTCAAGACTTTTTCAGATGCTGCACAGATTGTCTTAGTAATGCAGTCAGTCTCACTGGGAAGGTTCTCTTGTTGTTAGTCAGCAGAAGTAAAGAAAAGTAATTGGCCCCTCTTCTCTAGTAGGAATTAAATAGTTGCCAGGGTGGGGAGAGCTTTTCCCCTTTTCCTTTGTTTCTGGGTATGAAGTTCTAGATTGAAGCGCAGAGCAGTTAGCTAACATAACCCTTGAGCGTCTTTAGGCTGTGACCTCTGCAAGCATTTTCCTAACAGGAAACTCTTCTTCCTTTCCAGATCATTGTCTTATGGAATTGTGATAAGCCCCTCCCTGCGAAGCATCGCTGGCCTGTCACTGCTGTGCCTGTCATTGTTATCGAAGGAGAAAGCAAGGTACGTTGTTATGCTTTTTTATTACAGCTGCATGCCGTAATTCCTCCAGGAGCTTAAAGTGTCCTCTGTGGTTCTTCTCACCTCCTGCTTAATGCATCTTCCCTCCAGATTGAGGCAGGGATAAATAAATAAAATTCTGGGCTCCCAACTTTTTTTATTGGGACTGGCTCCCAAGTCACTCCTCTTATATATTTCCAAGGCTACCATCACTTACGTCAGGGTTCCTCAACCTCAGCAACTTTAAGATGGGTGGACTTCAACTCCCAGAATTCCCTAGTCAGCCATTCATTTTAGACGGATGTGAAATATCTGGGGAAGTGCAGGGAGCCTCGATACTCTGGAAGCAATCCCCCCCCCCCAAATTTGGATACCTACTCGATAAAGAACCACATCAAACATGGCCCTAAATTGCTGGCTGGGGAATTCTGGGAGTTGAAGTCCACCCATCTTAAAGTTGCTGAGGTTGAGGAACCCTGACTTACATGATTTACAAATACTTTAAAATTTATATTTAATTAAAAGTTACATTAATCGTTGCATTAAAGCAAATGCTATTTTTCTTTTAAATTCGCAGATTATGTGACAGAATAAATGCATCAGTATCCAAAATGTAGTTAAGAATCCTATTTAGGTTGACCCATATGTCCCTTTATATAATATGATACTAGACTATCGTTTTATGGGAACTGGTGTAGCATAGTAGATTTGAAGTCAGAAAGAAAAACTAGATTTAGGCAACAGTGAAAAATCTCCTACTGGCTATAGTAACTCATTGCTTATAGAAGTAGCTTGTATTTTATACCTGACTTTGTATTCAAGCAGGTTTATAATATACTGGTACAATATAATTAGAGATGCATGGGTATATCATGGTCAGTCTCCAGAGTACTAAACTAGAGCTTCCAACAGGCATATCCAGCAAGGATAATGATGACATACACTGGATGTTCTAGTCCAACTACACCTGGAAGGCCACCAGTGTTCAACCCTGCAAGTAGAGTTTCCAAATAGAGGGAGGTACAGAAATCACATACCTGTCCTTCTTCCTGAAAATAATAGCAAAATACCAGTTCCTTTATTCCTCCTCCATATCTGTGAAATACTTGTGCAACCTATTTCAGAAGTATGCTGATTCTACAATTTCATGTAAAGCACTCTTTATACACATAGTCTGTCTCTCTCTGTGGACAGCCTGCCGATTGAATGTTAAACTGCTACGACTGCTTAGGAATTTAGGGCCACATTTGATGTGGTTCTTTATCGAGTAGGTATCCAAATTGTGTGTGTGGGGGATTGTTTCCAGAGTATTGAGGCTCCTTGCACTTCCCCAGATATTTCACATCTGTCTAAAATGAATGGCGTTAGTATCTGCTGTTTTTCCCCAATGCGCTAAATGGCCACTAAGATGTCAGCTAAATCAATCCTTGAGTCAGATCTTGGGGTCAGTACTGGTTTGAGATTCACTGCAGATTGAGAGAGGAGGCTTCTGTTTGAGGCTGCCTCCCTTGGTGGAGTTAATTGTTTCCTTCTGTCTCCTTCCATTTTTGTTTCTTTCTTTCATGCATTGGAGGGCCTAAGGAAAGAATAGATCTTTTGAGGTTCAAAAATGCAGGTAAGCGTTAGCCTTGGAGCTTTTTAGGGACTACAAAGAAATCGGGAAGTGCAGTCAAGAGGATCGTGTATCTCCTTTTGCACAACTGATGCCCAAATGGAAAAAAAATACGCTTAGAATGCCAGATTGGCTCTTTTACGTTATAAGCTAACTTGTCAAGCCTGATGCCTTTCAGACATGCAGGATTATAGCCCCCATTGGCTTTGCTGCTGAAGATTACCCAGGATTTCAATCAATCAAGAACCTCAGAGTGGCAAAAGTTGTAGAAGAGGCCTTCAACGTTTTCAGCCTTAGGACTGCCCCTCCCCTCAGTAAGCTCTGTTTGTGTTTGGGCACCTACTGGAGTTCATGTGTGAGTATTCCAACCTCATCATTGGAACTCCATGGTAGACGCCTTGTCTTTCAATACTTCATCTTCGCTTTTATAAAAACAAGAGCAAATTAACAACCAAAAAAAAGGCCTAATATATACAAATGTCTCCGGCTGACAAAAGAGAAAGCAATAAAGAAAAATACTTTTCACTGTCAGATTCTGCTGCTATTTTTCTCCCAGAAGTACAAAGATCTAATGAGAAAAGTTAGTTGGCAATTCACTGAAGATGATTTGGGAGTGACAGAAAGAAGCAAATCTGAGCAAAACAAAAATCCAAATTTGTCCCGTTGCTCATCAGCACTGATTAGATCAGAGTCTAATCAGCTTTCACACTTCTCCAAATGTTGTGCTGTAGTTCTCAGAAAAAAAGTTCTCAAAATAAGTTTGGAAATGCACATTTTGGGATTCTAAATTGCAGATCAGTGTGGAAATGAGATGAACTACATCTAGAAATGGCATGCAGCAGAAATGGATGGAACTGTCTGCCTGTTATAAATTAGTGTATAGTCACACAGAGAAGCATCTCAGGAGAACCCAACAATGTTCTCATATCACCTACTGCTCACAAACTGATGTCATAGTGGTCTGAAAAGATTAATGCAAAATCTTACATAGATATTATATTGTCTTAGGAATTTTGTAACTTGGAAATTACACTCCTTTTGTTCATCATTTCTTGTTTTCACAATAGTACATGGCTAGCTTGTAGATGTAGTAAACTAACCAGTGAAGTATATTGGTTAGAGCAATTAGACTATTGCTTGGGAGATATAAGTTAAAATCCTCACTCAGTCACGAATTTTAGCCTGAGGCACTGGGTTAGTCATTATCACTCAGCTTAGCCTACCTTATAGGATTCTAATGAAGATAAAATTGGAAGGAATTATACATGCTACTTTAAGCTCTTTGGAAATATATATACCCTAAATATAGCTATGACTTATTGTCTTTTAATTATATAAAAATGGTGAGTTGGTTTCCAAAAAACCAAACCAAAACATCATGCATGATAACATTTGGGGTTAGGGTATAATGTGAACACATAAATCTATTAGGCCACTCTTGCTGAAATTAATCAGTAGTAACATAATCACATTGTTAGGTCAGATGCAATAAGCTACAAGAGAATTCAGTTCTTTCATATGAAGCTCTTTTCTTTCAGTCATTTTCCCCCTTAATGCTGTGGTGGAATGCTGACTCATTTGGTTCAAGTATGATGGAGGTGCTGCCCTGCAGATGAGACTCAAGAGCATCTCACTGACCCATTTTGTTCACCCTGCAGGTGATGAGCAGTCGCTTCCTGCCCTATGAGAACATTGTCACAGATGCTGTTCTAAGCCTCGATGAGGATACGGTGCTTTCAACCACTGAGGTGAGATATTTTTTCCTTTGGAGTGTGCTGGCTTTTCAAAGTCATACTTGTAATTGGCTTTCCCCAACTTGGTGCTCGCTCTCTGCAAAAAGACTTGCAATCATCACTTATCCAGAGAGCACCAAGTTGCAGAAAGCTGCCTGTCATATAGTATAACCAAAACTGAGGTAGCTGGGACATTGCATACATCAAGGACTGACCACTTAGCCTTCACTGGAATCTGCACTAGACCATATTCCAGGTCTCTTCATTATTATTACTGATGCACCATCCGGTACAAAGCTGCCTGTCATATAGTATAACCAAAACTGAGGTAGCTGGGACATTGCATACATCAAGGACTGACCACTTAGCCTTCACTGGAATCTGCACTAGACCATATTCCAGGTCTCTTCATTATTATTACTGATGCACCATCCGGTACAAAGCTGCCTGTCATATAGTATAACCAAAACTGAGGTAGCTGGGACATTGCATACATCAAGGACTGACCACTTAGCCTTCACTGGAATCTGCACTAGACCATATTCCAGGTTTCTTCATTATTATTACTGATGCACCTTCCGGTCCAGTTCAAGTTAAATGAATAGCCATACTTCTCTGGCGAGTAGAAAGAAGTCATGGATACATTCCCTTCACCAGACAACAAAGGCAACCTAGAACTAGTGTAAGAGGCTGATGCTGCTAGTACAGGTAGACCTCACTTAACAACTGCAGTTGGGACTGGCAACTCCATCGCTAAGCGACATAGTCATTAAGTGAAACATCACGTAATCGCGCCCGAGTTATGATGTAAGTCCCACTGCAATTGTTAAGTGAATCACCTGTGGTAGTTAAGTGCAATGTCATGTGACTGCAACTTGCCACTTACTGCCAGCTTCCCCATTGGAAGCTGGCTGTGAAAGTCATAAATGGGGATCACAGGACTGCAGGTTGCTGCAACCGTCGTAAATGCACGCTGGTTGCCAAGCGCCTGAATCATGATCACGTGGCTGCTGCGACTGTCATAAGTTTGAGGACTTGTCATAAACCTACTTTTTCAGTGCTGTCGTAAGTTTGAATGGTCGCTAAACAGGGCAATCATTAACCAAGGACTACTTGTACTCAAATATCCATGAACATCAAATAGACATGTGAAGGGTGACTGAGATTTGCCTCAGCAAAGAGATTTACACCACAGAGACAAAGTGGTTTTTCCAAAGCCAGGAAAGGCATAACACCCCAGAGCTTCCTCCATGGGGCTCATCAAAGCTTTGCACAAGTTGACTGGGAAAAGTGAGTGATATCTTCTTGGTTGATGCTTATGAAAATTTGCTTAGTATTGCAAGAGAATCTCTGCGTGGCTGCAAAGCAGAGCAAAGCAGAAGAACCTTTGTAGATCTCTTAGAAGCAAGATGGCCACGTTGCTTCCTGGAGGAGCTCTGCTCCTACAAACATTTGAACAGTACTAGTATCTATTTTAACTAAGAGGAAGACAGCATTTGGCATCCTAATTCCATGCCCATCTGGAATTCTCATAGTTTCATTTCATTGGATCAGTCTCTCTCTCTCTCTCTCTCTCTCTCTCTCTCTCTCTCTCTCTCACACACACACACACACACACACCTCACCTCACCTCACCTCACCTCACCTCACAGGGTTGTTATTGTGAGGACAATAGGAGGAGGAAGGAATATTAGATATGTTTGCTGCCTTGAGTTATTTATAAAAATAATAAATGGGATTAAAACAATCTTTAAAACCCCCAATCGTTCTCTGGTGCTTTAGGAAAGATTGAATGTCCTGTTGGGCCAAATTGCCAAATGTAGCATGCAGAAAAATAAAAGATGTAGATATAGATACATGAACACCCAACAATATACAAGTGCACACAAACATACAAACATATAAGCATCTGATTTTTGTATTGATTTCTATTATATTCTGTTTTTTTAAGAGCTAGGTTTGCCCACCATTGGCCTGATATTCCTTTTGAGAAGCTGCAGCACCACTCACAAAGCAGATGTTTTTATTTTGATGTCCACATGAACTCTCTCTCTCCCATGAATCAGAGCTGCACCCAAGCTCTTCCTTTCAATAAAAGAAGACTCTTTCTACCTGAAACTTCAGAGCTGCTATACCAAAAGAAAAAAGCCATAGGCTGCTGGAGTTGGGGGATGGGGGCAGGGAGCTGGAGATCAGGGGACCCAATGCAGAAAACCAATTTTTACAAGTGGGATGACTATTGATTTCTCTCACCTCTTCCTGTAAAGAGACAGGGGAAACGGGTGACCATTTATATAACATGGCAATATATTGGAAATACATTATTAATGGCAGCTCTGGAAAAGCTTTGAGTGTTTATTGTCTCCTTCAATTTCAGTGTGATTTCCTCTCTCTCTCTCTCTCTGTTGCTTCTCTCTCCTTTAAAAAAAGCAAATTCTCCTTTAGAATTGTCTAGCTGTTACTTTGGAGATAGCACGCTGGAATCTTCTTCCAAGAAAATGACAACCCCATGCAATGATTCTGGGATCCAGTTGTCCCTATTATATATCGACTTCTTAAATATGTTTATTTACTGAATGCACATGGATTTGCCAATGGTTAGAGCAAGGTTCCTCAACCTTGGCAACTTTTAAGATGGGTGGACTTCAACTCCCAGAATTCCCCAGCCAGTTGAAGTCCATCTGTCTTAAAAGTTGCCAAGATTGAGGAACCCTGGATTAGAGGATGTGCCTGCATGTGTAGCTATGTTCTTTTCTTACCCCAACTTCCACAATTTCTGTTGAAGGTCCATGTTTGCTTGAACACAATTGTATTTCTCTGCTATCTGAAACATTATTAAAAATAAAATCAAAGGCTGCTCTAGCTCAGTGCTTGGTTCAGAAATCTGTATACATGCCCCATCTTTGACTGAGATGGGCGGTGACTAAATTTGAAATATAAGTAAATAAATAAATAAATAAAATATCTCCCTACTGCCTGGATCATAACAGAGCTTCATCCAACCAGCATCTTATTTCCCACATGGGTCAACCAACTGTTTTGAATCTGGAAGTTCTGTGCAGGTTCAAAGTTGACATACCTGTTTCCTAGTAATGGGCTGACCCTTAAATTATGCCAGCTTAAGCCAGACTAAACTCTAATTTAGTTTTGATCAAATTCAGTGTGTCCAAATCACTTTCTACAACCATCTCTCTTTTTTGCATTTAATAGTTTTGTTATTACATAAACATTGTACAAAAGTAAGAGATGAAAAATAGAGATGCAAGAAGTAAGGTATGGTATAATAAAAAATACTCTGTAAAAAGAATGTGGTTTTTCCCCAACCATTAACTGTTATTTAGATATTTATACTTTGCTTTACAGTTTTATGATTATTGCTTATATCTGTTAGAGTCATTTTTTTCAGCTGTTTTTTAATCGATTTCTCTCATTTTCTTCAAAAGCCATATTCTAAGTTTCTCAGGTTGCCTTACTATGTAATATAATGTTTGTAAGGGAGCCGTGCCTGCCTGAATTTGGTTAGACTTCTGTTGTGAATATTTCTCCGTTGCCGTATATTGTCCCATTTTGGTGTGCATCAGCAAGATTTCTCTGTTTTCTAAAACCATCTAAGCTAGTGACCAATGTATTCTGCAGGTTTGACACAAGACTTAGAGTCATTAGTAAGGAAATCATCTGGTTTAAGATGCCCTCTCCCAATCTTATGGGGGTTTGTTAAATTACACTTCCAGAATTCCCAGTCAACATGGATAATAAATTATAGGGGTTATCATCTCAAGACATCTAGATGTCTTCTATGAACCGCCGAGAGTTACCCCACAGTGAGATGGGTGGTGATAAATTTGAAATATAAATAAATAAATAAATATAAATAAATTACCTATCCAACTGAATTATAGTTTTCCAACTTGAAACCTGCTTTCAAATATGAGTGATAAAACTCAGAAAAGCCCCAAATAGTTCTTCCTTTTCATTTTTTTTACCTTTAATTAAGATTTTAGCTTTTCATTCCTAATGTAATGAAATATTAAGCCACTTTAAGTCATCCTGCCTGCAAAAGTTTCATCCTGCACGGTGGGAGAAAATATCTATGACTCATAATTAGAAATCCACATGGATTTAGGGAGGGTTGTTGGCCAACTTAAGAGGGTGGCAGGTTTGCTAGCTTTCTCTCCCACCCTCACCCTCCACTCCAATTAATCCATATTTGGTTCTTTACATCAGCCTCAATGGGAAACTGTTAAAGCAGAACTAGGAAACTTGCACATGGTATCTAACATTCATTAGCATCTGCAGTATAAGTACAATGTATGTAGCAGCCAAAAGGAGATGGATCCCATCTGAAAGACTCAATCAAAACAGATGAAAGGAAAAACTTGAAGAAGCAACAGAGCAGAAGTGTTTCAAGGAGGAAAAAATAGCACTCTGAGAACTGAACTTACTGTTCCAGTAATAATGCTTTGGCAGGTTTGGGAGAACATATAGCCCAATTCCATGTTCAATCTAAGGTAGGGGTCCCCAAACTCTTCAGCTCGTTGACCCCTTTATGAACTTTCAGATTGTTCATTGACCCCCAAACTTTTATTATATGAGAATAATTTAATAAATACTGCTTTAACTACAAATGTTAATAATAATGATAGTGGTAACATCGACCCCTTGAATAGTCCCATTGACCCTTGGTGGTCAATATTGACCACTTTGGAGAACCGTGGTCTAAGGTCTCTAGTGCAACCACAGGAGCATTGTAGAGAGCCATCTTCCAGTGTTCCTGTAGCTTAGTGGTAGAACACATGGTCTGGATGCAGAAGATTCTACGTTCAAACGTTGGCATCTCCAGTTGAAAGACTTAGGTGCAGGTGATGGATGGACCTTTGCCTGATACTTTGGAAAGCTAGTAGAGACCAGTTTCCTTTTTTACCTCTTCTGTGGGTGAGACATCCTGTGCAATAAATTAGGATGAAACAGAATTTGCTATTGACAAGGGTTTGCACCCAGATTCCCATTTCCTCATTATACTTCATCTGTCTAATGCAATTGCCATATGCCAGCCTGAAAAATTTCTAGCATAATCCCTAGTGTTGTGTCTAGGTAAAATGGGCCCTGTGATGCGAAAGTACTCATGTTTTGTTCCTTGACATCCTTTTTTTTGTTTGGTTGGTTGGTTGGTTGGGGTTTTTTTGTCTTCAAGTCACTGCTGACTCCTGACAACTGCCTGAACTAGTCCCTGCAGTTTTCTTGGCAAGGTTTTTTTTCAGAAGTGGCTTGCCATTGCCTCCTTCCTAGGGCTGAGAGAAGGTGACTGGCCCAAAGTCACCCAGCTGGTTTTTCATGCCTAAGGCGGGACTAGAACTCACAATCTCTCAGTTTCTAGCCCAGTGCCTTAACCACTACACCAAACTGGCTCTTGTTTATTTAGGTATTTTGAATTAATAAATGGGAAGCTGGAATATTGTGAAGCAGAGCACCAGCTCCCGGCATCAAGGCATCTTTATGGAATAAAAATGGTGCATCAGTGCAGCACTTTGGAAGTGCACCCATCTACCCAAAAAGTAGTGAAAAATCAGCTGATGAAGTAAAAGACATTTGAGGGAGCTAGATGAGATGGCATGAAACAACCTCAACAGTCAGACTGCTGGTAAATGCCTTTTGTGTGACTCGCCATGCACACCATGGCAGCCATTTTGTGAATTAGCACACCCTTTTGGTCTCAAGGAAGTTGTCTGACCTCACCACGAAAATACGTATCACTGTAGACATTAACAAGAATTTTAATGATGAATTGCTGATTTATGGTTGCTTTATTGAGAATTTGTATGCCACCCTAGAACCCGATATGGAGAAAGAACGTTTATAAATGTACAAAGAAAAATCAAATGGACAAGTTTTAATTTGTTATGGTGGATTCAGCAGGAAGTGTTTGGCCCAGCAGGATCCTTTATCTTTATCTAACACAACTGTTCCTTTCTTAACTTAGCTTTATCTTTTCAAGAAAACAGATATCAGCTTTTATATAAAGGATGTTCAGGTGTCTGTTGATTTTCTGATGCATTAATAATTTGTTTGTGATCAGAGCTGTTGCAGGAATAATTGTTTTGTCTGAACTGTAAGCATTTCATGTTGTTTGAAACAACTTGAAGGAAGAGAATGAGTCATAACTTAATTGGAAACACCCTTCAAAGACTTGAATCCACCATCATGCCAAATTTATGGCAGAGGTGCTTTGAGCCTCTCGTTTCATAATAGGATAAGACTGCATCATGGCATTTGTAATAAGTCACCCCTGGATTGAACTCAAATGGTTGATTCAATTGAAATTTCAGTTTGAAGGGCTCATTTGTGCTGCTTGAACCTTCAAATCAGGTATTCGCACAGCCATAGTAGGGAGTAAAATATTCATCATCTGTCTTACACTAGCTGAAGCCAAGTAGAAAACATTGCAAACAAGGGGGTGTAGAATTCATAATTCTGGGACATCCGTCTTTTGAAAATGACATTTCTCTGATTTTCCCCATCCAGTGGTAAAAAGAGACACTTCCCTTCTCCCCCGCAAAATGGACAAGGAATCAACTTACTGCTTCACTTCAATAAACAAACAATTCCTATAGACACCCAGTTCTCCACTAGTTGTAAATGTTTGCTGTGCCTATGTCATGCCGACAAAATGTTAATATGATTCTCTGGAGCTCTAGGCTCCTGTTAACAGAAAAACATTAAAATGTGCATAATTATAGGGCAAAATGTCAAGTAGTCAGTTTAATTTACTGATGAATACAGAGAATTAATGTTTTGCAACAGTTCCAAGATTGCAAATTATGAATTAGTGAAAAGGTAATATTTTGTTTTGCTGACATTTTTGAGACTGGTTGATTACCACTTGCCACATCCATTCGGTTTGGTTTTTTTCTTGCCTGCAGGTGGATTTTGCCTTCACAGTCTGGCAGAGTTTTCCAGAGAGGATTGTGGGTTATCCTGCCCGTAGCCATTTTTGGGACAACACTAAGGAGAGGTGGGGCTACACATCAAAATGGACTAATGACTATTCCATGGTATTGAGTGGAGCTGCTATTTACCACAAGTAAGACCAGGGGCATTACATGTATTTAAAGCCTGTTTTAAGAGGCGAGAGGAGCTCAGCTATATTCTTATATTTACTTAGAAAAATTAAACTGAGAACCCTGTTCAGCCCTCTTCTACCGTTTTATTCCTCCTTGTGTAGAGGAGAATGGTGACAAGTGTCTAAAGGAAAGGATTATATGCTAGAAAATACTTGTTTGTCCACCTGGGTTTGAGTTAAAACATAGACACATGAAGACCCTGGCTATATCTTACCACTTGTTCGATTGTCTCCCTTTCCACTCTTAATTTTTGTTTTTGCAAAGCAGGTTTTGTTAAAACACCAAGGGTGATTCCTGAAGGATTAAGGTTTAAGTCTCTCTTCTGCAGATCATGACTTTGATTCCCAGTTTCAAGATCTGATAGTCATTAGTGTGCTTTTCTCAATTTCTTTCAAGTCACTTGTACTCTAAAAAGCAGTTTGATTTGAATGCTCTCTCTTAGGGGCAATAGTCGACTTCAAAGAAGCCCCAAAAGTCTTCAAAAGGACTCTGCCTGAATTTCCTTTGGCATCAAGGGAGAACGAATTGTTCAACTTGTTCTAAGCAAGTTGAGGTTTAGGTTGACTGACCACCTAATTCAGCCAAACTGGACACTGACATAATCATTGTACTGTAATTCAGCTTGGTTTGTGAGTCCTTATGTTTGCTTGTTGGGCTTTCAAGGGAGAGAAAAGCAGAGAAAGGCCCCTCTTTTTTTGTACAAAAGTTGTTGACATTGTGTTTTGTCCCTACTTTGAAAATGAAACCATATCACTTCAAAGGAATGGTCATTTGGTTGAGGGTCAGACAGGCCAATTCTGACTATTGAAAAGGTTAACTTACCCCTCTCCCTTCTACAATCACCAACATTTCAGCTGTTCTTCAGATTACTTAGGATCAGCAATACATTTCCAGGTGGAAACAGCTGAAAAAGGTTAACAAAAGACATTTTAACTACATAAGGTAAATAAGTAGCCTTTGCCCCACTATGTCAGCTCCTCTTGTTTCTCCAGTTTTTCAAGAATCTTTGGATTTTGAGTGATTCTGGACTTCCCTTGTCATCAGAAACTGATGCCATCAGGAATCTGTTTTTCTATAGACTTTTTTTTTAAGCTGGTGAGTTCTGGCTGAGTTGGACTGTAGCTCCTGTCATCTCCAACTAGGCTGCTGTGGTCTGGAGTAAGCAGTTCAATGCTCATTTGTGTCACTTCTGTCTCCATCTCCATTTAGACTCCTTCCTCCCCATTTGAGGGTTACAGGTTGCCCACTCCTGCTTTAGAGACATCTGCTCTGCTCCTCTCCCTGGAACGGCTTTCCAGCTTCTTTTGAGCGGATGGGCACATTTGGAGTTTTGAGAACATGTCACAGACACTCCAATGAATGGCTGCTTGGGCATTTCAAAATGGGCATGGGAGACTGAATGAATTATGAACTTACTTGCTATATGGTACCCCCCCCCAGTTCTCCCCATCTTCAAGATGCTCCCTTCTACCCCAGCGTGCCCTTATCTTTGGTGGGGGCAGGTGGAAACGTAGCCAATCCAAGACCTACTCTGCAAACACTACCCATTTTTATTTTATAAATGACATTTGAGACCCATTTAAGCCCAGTGGCACTCTTGGAGATACGAATTAGGCTGAAGGGTAATTGCTTTGCTTTGCATCATGCCCACTTTTTGTTATCTTTAATTAAAATATATAAGAAATGTTAAAAAGTCAAATGGAACAGGGAGACTAGCAAATCCCACAAAAGATACCTTCAGGCATATTGGTACTTCTAGGACTACAGGTCAGACCTTTTGCTTCAAGTGTGAAGAGGGATCACAACTTGTTGATAAAAACCCCAGCACGCAGTACAGAAGGTCCTGAACTTGTCAATCCCACTGTTGCCTGAATTTCTGGGAAGAGCCAACATCTTTGTTGAATGGCCTCATAGTCAGTACTAATGTGACAGCTTCCTACATTTCCAAATCTGTTTCAGCCTTTAGTTCCTGGATGCACTTTGAAAAGCCATTCAACCCAATTGGATGACTATCGACCTATAAAGTTACACTGAATTCCTAGTAACTTACTCCAAGTAAATGTGTATAGGATGACAGTGCCAGATTCTCACTGATGACCCTCAATTGTTGTGTTACAGATATTATCACTACCTGTACACTCATTACCTGCCTGCTAGTCTGAAGAATGTGGTGGACCAATTGGCCAATTGTGAAGACATTTTGATGAATTTTTTGGTGTCCGCTGTGACAAAATTGCCTCCCATCAAAGTAACACAGAAGAAACAGTATAAGGAAACCATGATGGGACAGGTATGTGCACAAAGTCTGCCTTAACCTTCTTGTGGGCTGCTTTCATTGCAATTCACTCATGAAAAAGCATGAAAAGTAACCCAGAGAATACATGATTGAATTAGCCCATGTCAAATTTGCCAGTACAAGTAGTCCCCAGGTTAAGAATGCTTGGTTTATGGATGACCCATAATTAAGAACGGAGCCTATTGTAGCAAAATTCAAGTTAAATACAGGATGATTCTAGTTAAATACTCAGTGGTTCGAGTTAATTACACAATGCTACTTATACAGTAATAATACTGTACAATATACTGTTATATTGTAATACAATATACTGTTTATATTAATAATATAATAATACAATATTATTATATTACTGTACAATATAATACTGTTATACAATATACAATAATACTGTTCCGGCTTACATAGAAATTCGACTTAAGGACAGACCTTGGGAACGGAACTCGTTCTTAAACTGGGGACTACCTGTACTAAAGTGGTTGGCATTTTCCATCCCATCTTGGGCACCCTCTAACTGTTGGATAATGGCACAGTTTAGTACGATCTAATCCTAATTATTTAATCCTGGTGTCCAAAACCTTTGAATTCGAAAAGGGTTGTTCTGACAATTCTCCAGATGCTCAGCTTGGAATAGGATTGTTTTAAGCTCTGGACCATTCTGGTTGAGACAGTCTCTTTCATACAAAGCATTTAGAAATTGAAACTTTTGCATTCTCCAATTATTTCAAAATTTCATAACACAGTAACTGCAGTTCTCATAGAGTGTACAAAACTATCCTGAAAACTCACGCTTCCTGAAGATCACATACTCTTAGAAGCACACATCTTTCTCCAAGTTGGATCATCCGTAAATAAGCCCACAAAAAATTAAATCCACAAATAGTCTTAACTGGTGTGCCTCCAGGAGTCCCAACTAATGTATTCTGATACCAGAATCTAAAGGGTTATCAAAGAAACCTACTGGTAAACGTATGGTACCTGTTCTTAATCTCTACTAATGGGAGGCCACTTACAAATCTAAAATAAAGCACTATATCTTTTTTTTAAAAGTTATAAAAATCCTGCAAATGAACGGATTTAATAAACGTAAAACTTAGTGTTATTCAAAAATAACCTGCCATCAAAATCTGAGAGGAGAAATGTTCACAAATGGTGCTGCAACAGATGTGATTTTCTATTTTCGAAATAATTATTTCAAGTCAGTTCTTGTAAGAACATACAGGGAAAAAACTCTCTGCCAGCCCCCCCCCCCCAAGATTGGGAGGCTTATGTTAATTTGGGGGGTGCAGTGCATGGTCTGTTTTTGATGGCTACTTTTCCATTTTGGGCTTTGCTAAAATTTAAGGATGCTGCCTACAGATTCAATACATCTGAATCTGGAAAACCAATCACTTGCAGTAATTTGGATTTTTGCCTGAGAGGGGGCAGATTCAGCTAGAATTATTTTCTTTGATTGGTGTTCTAGCACTCTCTTTTAAGATAGCTGAAGTTTGCCAGCGAAAATGTTCTTTAATGGCCATTTCTGTAAATTATCACTGTAATTCTTAGTTGCCTTGGTTCATAACATTAAGCCACCCTTTGAAGTACTGAAGATGAAACATTGTATGTGCCATTCTTGCTCATTCATCTAGCCTAGCCTCAAGTAGGCAAACGGAGGCATTTGCCTCTTTTTAAATTTAAACTGTAATTAATCTGAAACATGAAAATAAGCCAGACATACAGTTTGAAGTCAGTTTGTCACTACTAACCATGGTAAGTAGAATGATGAGGTCTCCTTGCTGTCACATGGGAGGATGAAACTGTAGTTCACAAGCCCATAAGTCACATGTAGGCATTTTAGGTGTTGCTGATCCAGATCTCCCAGAATTCCTAGGAAACAAGGCAGGGGTGCAGGGAGTTGTAGTTCAGCAACATTTGGAGCGCCACCATTGTCTGTGTTTAACCCAGATTCACTATAACTCATCCTGGTAATGCTAGACTGTGACTTAGAATTACGTATTTATTCATTTATTAAATTCGTATACAACTCTGGGTGGCTTGCAAGTAAAAACATTACAGACTAGGGAAGAAATGCAGAAATAAAAGAACAGAAGATGCCCAGGGTAACAACAACCGGACAGGAACAAAAGAGAAACCCACACAATCCCTCACCAAAGGCCTGGGCGAAGCACCACGTCTTCAAGGCCCTTCAAAACACCAGGAGAGTGGGGGCCATCCGGATCTAGAGGGGAACCTCATTCCAGAGGGCGGTCACTGCTACAGAGAAGCCATACTTCTGGGGTCCCAAGAGATGGCATCGTTTAACTGAAGGAACCCAGAGCGCACCAACCCTGCTAGATGGAATTGGCTAGGCAGGTACTATGGAATTATATGCAAACACAGTTACTAATTCCAGACTTTGGATATAAATGGAAAGCACATATGTTGTTTTGAAAGGTAAAATGCAGTAAGATAATGGAAGAAGGTTCAAATTAAGTACCACTGGTATTGCTGGCCCAGAAAGGGGACAAGTTAATATGATTATCTTCTAAACAAATGGCTATCTATCATTTAAGTTTGTTCTGAAGAACTTAGCATCTCACTCCGCTCCTTCTATATGATGGAGGACTAATAAATTAATTCAGTGTTTCTCAACTTTGGAAATTTTAAGAGGTGTGGACTTCAACTCCCCAAATTCCCCAGTCAACATGCTGGTTGGGGAATTCTGGGAGTTGAAATCCACACATCTTAAAGTTGCTGAAGTTGGAAAACATTGAATTAAGGTGTTAAAGCATCCCTAGGTTCTCCTTCTCCCTAACCAGACTGACTAAGACATAATTATTGATTATTGACAGCCCATGTATAAAACGGGTTCATGTGTTTCCTGGTTTATGCTTTCAAACATGCAGCAATGGAAGGATTTCATGATTCAAGGATCCCACTGTCTAGAGTTGTGAAGGATCTGAGGGAAAGACCCAGAATAATTGGAAGGGGGAATTTTTTAAAAAAGTTTTTTCTATGATTGTTTTCATTTTTTCTCTAACCTTTTACATCTCTACGTTAGTTATAGCTTCATCAAAGCTCTTATCCCAGGGCTGGCATCACCCAATACACACTGGTTTGGTCTAGATTAAGTATGATCTATGAACCCAACCATTGTAGTTGGTGAACTGTAGACTGTCTCTGCATCAGACCACTCTGGCTTCTGGCGTGGTTAAAACAAACCATGGTTTATCATGATGTGCTAACCCAGCCTGTGAGCAAAACAACAAGGGAAGGATCCTCCATTACTCAGAATCCAGATAGGGCTTGGCTTGTTTTCCAATCCCTGAATTTCACAGTTACCCTTCTAACATTTCATTCTCCTGAAACAGAGTTCAAAATAGCAAGAGAACAACCTTGTTCATGTTGTGTTCTGAGTGACGAATCCCAGAAAAGATGAGGTGGATTTTGCATCAGAATAGAATAGAATTTCTAACTCCTAGTTTCAGAAGCTCTCTGCTCACCCAAGGCAAGGAAGCAACAATTTCCCACTGAGCCATTGATTCTGAAGATTCAAATCAAGCGATTTTTCACTGTCCTGAAGCTAAGCACAGGCAATGTACGTGTCAGCAAAACAGGACCAGTTTTATTACTGCCAATATAATGCTGCAAACTAATATTAAATGCAGATTCAGTGCTCAGTGGTGGGATGGATTTCTGGATTTCTTTCAATTATAGAAAACTCCCATTTTGCATTTTTTGGAAGACAAAGGCCATAGTGGGAGGGCCCCACCTCAGACACATGAGGAGGGAAAACATTTTCTGTTTCTTCCTAGAAGGAGTGAGATTTCTTAGGGTGTATTTTTTTAACAGTCTTGATTCAATGTTAGAACTCATCGTTTTTGTTTCCTGCCCCCAAAAGGCAAAAAGGTTGTTCTATGGCAATGGTGGTTGGAGAGAACGTCAAAAACGGCTGTTCTGTTCTGTTCTGTTCTGTTCTGTTCTGTTCTGTTCTGTTCTGTTCTGAATATAGATTCAACCTAGGATCTCACTGTTAACCCATTTTAGATGAGAAAGGCACAAAGAGAAGGCTATTGTGGCTGCTTGATTAATTTCTGCCTGTTACCCATCTTCCATTCCCAACCTACTGCATTTGACTAGTAACTCTACAGTCTGGTAACCCTAACTAGGTATTGTCTTACAAGAGGCATTTCCTCCTGTGTGAGATTTTAAAATAGAATACAAGGGAACCTTATTTTAATGGACTTATTGGGGGGAGATGATGTCCATTATTCAAGCGTTTTGTTGAATTGGAGATTAGAGTATGGCAGGGACTAAACAAATTACCAATTTACATAATTAGCACAATGACATCATCACAAAAATGACAGGGATGCCAATGATGGAAATAGGAGAGGAAATTTGGTGCACTGCATGCCAAAACTGTTGCATTGAGGTCTGGTAAAACCAAGTTTCACTGTCCTTTTTTTTTTACCATTGTGATCCTATGCAATATTTTATAAGTACCTTCTTTTATAAGAATTACACTGTAGCGCTTGGAAAGTTGACCCTAGAAGGGAAGGTCCAAGTTTTGGTTCTCATTCAGCCCTGAAGCTCACTGGGTGAGTTTGGGCTAATCCCTGTGTCTCAGCCTGGTCTACAGGATGGTGGTGAAAATAAAATGGGAAGCCAGAAGCATACAAGCCACCATGAGTCTGAACATCAAAAATACAAATACAATACAGTACAAAATACTTTAATGACCAAGTATAAAATATATACAAGGAATTTGTCTTCGGTGGTGAACAGCAAGATCAACGGTGCATTTGGATAACAACAGAAAATTAATAAACAGTAACAGTAA